CCTGTTCTTCCTCCCACCTATCCCCTCCTCCCACCTCAAGCCGCACCTCCATCTCCTACCGACCAACCTCATCCCGCCCCCTTGACCTGTCCGTCCTCCCTGGACTGACCTATCCCCTTCCTAACTCCCTACCTACACTCACCTTTCCTGGCCCCATCCCCGCCTCTTCGACCTGTTTGTTTCCTCTCCACCTATCCTCTCCTCTATCCCTCTTCTATCCGCCTCCCACTCTCTCCCTATTTATTTCAAAACCCCCTTCCCCTCCCCCTTTTCTGATGAAGGGTCTAGGCCCGAAACGTCAGCCTCTCTGCTCCTATGATGCTGCTTGGCCTGCTGTGTTCATCCAGCCCTGCACCTTGTTGTCTCGGATTCTCCAGCATCTGCAGTTCCTACTATCTCTTATCATCATTGTTTCTTTTCCCTATCATCTTAAATCAGTGTCTTCTGATTCTTGACCCTCCTGTTAGTGGGAAGTTTCTTCTGACCTGCTCTGTCTATCTTACATGATTTCGAATAATTCTGTTAAGTCTCTTCTCAGCCTCCCCTTTAGGGCAATAGATCATGCTGTCCAATCTATCCATATAATTGTGGTGCCTCAAACCATTTTCGTCAATCTCTTTTTCATTATCTCTAAAGACTTCATGTCCTTCCTAAAGTGCAGCACCAAAAATTCTACGTAGTAGCCTAGTTGAGGCCAAATCACTGTTTTCTGAAGGTTCATCATAACCTTCTTGCTTTTGTAGCCTGTGCAGCATTCACCCAACCCCTACCCAGTCTACCTTCTAAATCTTCTCTATTCATGTCCCTTTTAGTTAATATTATCTCAGCTCCCTGCCTATAAGTTGATTTGCTGTTGAGACATTACCATGATTTCATTAAATTTAGAAAAATTGTAAAATGATTTCCAACACCACCACTGCATTCCACTACTGCTCAACATCAAAGCAAAGTTGGTTAAGATGTCAGTATTGCTAAAGTTTAACTTCTGAGAGAAATTGAAATGGCATCAGCTTTACCTCAAAGGCAAGCACCAGGATGACTTATTACTGCCTCCTCCTAGACATGTTCCAGTTACTTTGTCGGACGATTCAATTTTCCAAGTAATAAATTCATCAGTGCTAAACAAAAGGTACATATTTATTTTCCTGAAACCACCAAAACAAAGGGTTGGATTTCAGTTTGCCCACAATTTTCCTTACTTTTACAGTGGGGGTGTGGTAGAGTTGTAAAGGAGTTAAGAGTTAATATCATTGAAGCTTAAAAAATACTGAGAGGCCAGGGTACAGTGGACATGGAGAAGATGTTTCCATCAATAAGAGAGGCTAGGACCTGAGGGCGCAGCCTTAGAATGAAGGGGTAATCCTTTAGAACTAAGATGAGGAGGAATTTCTTCAGCCAGAGGGTGGTGAATCTGTGGAACTCATTGCCACAGAAGGCTGTGGAGGCCAAGTTATTGAGTGTATCTAAGACAGACGTAGATGGATTCTTGATTAGTAAGGGGATGAAGGGTTACTGGGAGCAGGCAGGAGAATGTGCTTGAGAAACGTATCAGCAACGATCGAACATAGAGCGGACTCAGGCTGAATAGAACAAAGAAAATTACAGCACAGGAACAGGCCCTTCGGCCCTCTAAGCCTGCGCCGATCCAGATCCTCTACCTAAACCTGTCGCCTATTTTCCAAGGATCTGTATCCGTCTGCTCCCTGCCCAGTAATGTATCTGTTTAGATACATCTTCAATGACGCTATCGTGCCCACCTCTACCACCTCCGCTGGCAACGTGTTCCAGGCATCCACTACCTAATAGCCTAACACCCAATAGCCTAATTCTGTTCCTATTCTTATGGTCTTTTCATAAGAACTACTATCTGAGTGAGGTTATTGGAGGCCAGTACTTTACTTTGAAATGTTGAGATGAAAACATAAGCACAAGGAACAAGAGTAGGCCACTCAGCCCTTCAAGCCTGCTTCTCCATTCAGTAGGATCATGGCTGATCTGATTTAAACCTCAACTCTACCTAGCCCTGACAATTTTTCATCTCCTTGGTCATCAAGAATTTACCTACCGCAACTGTAGAAATATTTAAAGGTGCTGCATCCACTGCCATTTGAGGAAAGGAATTCAAAAGACTCATAACTCTCCGAGAGAATTTTGTTTTCTCTCATCGCTGTCTTAAATGGGTGACCCCTTATTTTCAAACTGTGACTGCAAGTTCCAGATTCCACCACGTGATCCACCCAAACAAGTGCCCTCAGGATGCTCAAAATCTCAGTACTCTTACCATAAAATCAAGAGGGAAGGTAATTAGACTGACATTATTTTCATTTTCCCTGATGACTTCTTTAAAAGCTGACTTAGTATGTTACCAAACAATATTTATATTTCTTTTATAATGGGTGTGGGTCATTTAATTGAACCTAGAAGTAGGAGATTGGTAATAAGTTGTGAAACAGTAATAACTAGAATGATGCTTCAGAATTTCCTAGGTTTATTTGGAAATCGATAAACAAGCCAATGACAATGAGAAATAATTATTCACCTGGTTGCCTTCTCTTTCCTCACACAGACACGGTCAATGCAGAGTTGCTTTTATCTTATAGTGATCATTCTGACAAACTCATTTTGATACTTCGCTTGGCTGTAATAACAGCTGTAGTTCTGACTGTGCCTGTCCTTCTGTTCACTGTGAGTATTACCATTAAAATTTGAATCAGTTGATCAATTTTGTCTAAAGGGATTTGTTCCAGAATCAGAAGCAGTCCTCAGATAGCTTTCCTTTTGTATACTCATAGAAAAGTATCATTTTGTGAGATAACCTTCAACTGTGATGCTTCAGCAATGGAACTCTTTATTATAGTGCAGTTGTGAGTAGCATGCTGTAATTTACGTCTAGTATTAAACACTCAGTAAATCTGCAATCTCACAGAGAATGTTGGAGAAATTCATATCTGCAGAAAGAGAAACAGTTAATGTTTCAAGTTCAGTGTGACTCTTTTTCAGAACATAGGACTTAGGAGCAAGAGTAAGTAATGTGGCCATTCAGTAATATCACAGCAATTGATCGTGGTCTCGATTGCACTTCTCTCAGTGCTGCCTTATTTCTCGACTGCCTTATTTACCAAACATCTATCTAACTCACAGGATTAACAAACTCTCTCTGTTACCCATTTCTGCCCCTCAGTTAGGCATCTCATTGCCCTTTTACATATTAGACAATAACGTATGTGGTTTTTGCGAGTGTATGTTCAGTAAATCTTAATGCTGGTGACATATCTTGTTTTTTGTTATTCGCAGCTTTTGAATTTGCCTTATTTGTATTGTTGGGCAAACTTAAATTTGGAATATCTCAATGAATTGAAAAGCTTGCAGTTCATATTTACAGAGTTATAGAGTTGTCCAACATGGAAACAGACCCTTGGGTCCAAGTCGTCCATTCCAACCAGATATCCTAAACTTATCTGGTCCCATTTGCCAGCATTTGGCCCATTTCCCTCTAAATGCTTTCTGTTCATGTATCCACCCAGATGCCTTTAAAATGTTGTAATTGTACCAGCCTTCACTACTTCTTCTGGCAGCTTGTTCCATATACGCACCACCCCCTGCACAAAAAAGTTGGCACTCGGGTTCCTTTTAAATCTTTCCCATCTCACCTTAAACTAATGCCCTCTAGTTTTGGACTTCCCTACCCTGAGGAAAAGACTTTGATTATTCACCCTATCCACACCCCTCATGATTTTATAAACCTCTATAAGGTCACTCCTCAGCCTCCGATGCTTCAGGGAAAATAGCCCCAGCCTATTCAGACTCTCCCTATAGCTCAAACCCTCCAATCCCAGCAACATCCTTGTAAATCTTTTCTGAACCCTTTCAAGTTTAACACCATCTTTCCTATAGCAGGGAGACCCAGAATTGCATGAAGTATTCTAAAAGTGGCCTAACCGACATCCTGTATAGCTACAACATGATATCCCAACTCTTATACTCAATGCATTGACTGGTAAAGGCAAGTGTACCAAACGCCTTCTTTACCCTGTTTACCTGCAACTCCACTTTCAAGGAACTATGCACCTGCACCCCTAGGTCCCTTTGTTTGGCAACACTCCCCAGGGCCCTACGATAAACTGTACAAGTCCTGCCCTGATTCGCCTTACCAAATGCAACACCTCATGTTTATCTAAATTAATCTCCATCTGCCACTCCTCGACCCATAGGCCCATCTGATCAAGGTCCTGTTGTACTCTGAGGTAACCTTCTTCACTGTGCACTAAACCACCAATTTTGGTGTCATCTGCAGATTTAGTAACTATAACCTCCTATATTATTTGGTAAGTGACTTTCCCTAATTGCATTAAAGTGCTGTGAGTTGCTTACAAAGTGATAGTAATGACTGCTATGGAGTAGCTAACAAGCCCAGACCATTTGTAGCAGGTGAAGGATTTATGATGATGGGCATCTTTCTTGCGGAACTTTTTCATTAGACTAATCGATGGGTTTACTGACAGTGAGCTTCAGGGAAACCTTTTGTTTTTAGATTTCTGACACGGAGCAAGACTTGAGAGTTCTGTTATATATATTTTTGGCTAAGCTATTCATGGAAACATAGAAAATAGGAGAGGAGTGGGCCATTTAGCCCTTCAAGCCTGCCCTGCTCATCCAAATCAATAGCCTGTTCCTGTATTAAGAGCATAGAACATAGAACAGTAGAGCACAGTACAGGCCCTTCGGCCCATGATGTTGTGCCAACCTATTATCCTACTAAGATCAATCTACCCTGCATACCCTACATTTTACTATCCTCCACGTGCCTATCCAAGAGTCACTTAAAAGTCTCTAAAGTATCTGATTCCGCTACCACTGCCGGCAGCGCATTTCACACGCCCACCACTCTCTGTGTGAAGAACCTACTTCTGACATCTCCCCTATGCCTTCCTCCAGTCACCTTAAAATTAAGCCCCCTCGTGATAGTCATTTCCGCCCTGGGAAAAGTCTCTGACTATCCACTCTATCTATGCATCTCATCATCTTGTAAACCTCTATCAAGTCACCTCTCATCCTTTTCCGCTCCAATGAAAAAAGCCCTAGCTCCTCAACCTTTCCTCATAAGACGTGCCCTCCAGTCCAGGCAGCATCCTGGTAAATCTCCTCTGCACCCTCTCTAAAGCTTCTACATCTTTCCTATAATGAGGTGACCAGAACTGAACACAATATTCCAAGTGTGGTCTAACCAGAGTTTTATAGAGCTGCAGCAGGACCTCACGGCTCTTAAACTCAATCCCCCGCCAATGAAAGCTAACACACCATACGCCTTCTTTACAATCCTATCAACTTGGGTAGCAACTTTGAGGGACCTATGGACGTGGACCCCAGGATCCCTCTGTTCCTCCACAGTGCCAAGAATCCTGCTATTAACCCTGTATTCTGCATTCAAATTTGACCTTCCAAAATGAATCACTTCACATTTTTCTGGGATGAATTCCATCTGCCACTTCTTTGCCCAGCTCTGCATCCTGTCAATGTTCTGTTGCAACCTACAACAGCCCTACACGCTGTCCACAACTCCACCAACCTTTGTGTCATCAGCAAACTTACTAACCCATCCTTCCACTTCCTCATCCAAGTCATTTATAAAGATCACAAAGAGCAGAGGTCCCAAAACAGATCCCTGCAGAACACCACTGGTCACCGAGCTCCAGGCTGAATACTTTCCATCTACTACCACCCTCTGTCTTCTACTCGACAGTCAGTTTTGTATCCAGTCAGCCAAATTTCCCTGAATCCCATGCCTCCTTACTTTCTGAATGAACCTACCATGTGGAACCTTATCAAATGGCTTGCTAAAATCCATATACACCACATCCACTGCTCTACCTTCATTGATGTATTTTGTCACATCCTCAAAGAATTCAATAAGGCTTGTGAGGCATGACCTGCCCCTCACAATGCCATGCTGACTATTTCTAATCAAACTGTGCTTTTCCAAATAATCATAAATACTATCTCGCAGAATCCACTCCAATAATTTGCCCACCACAGAAGTAAGACTGACCCGTCTGTAATTTCCATGATTATCCCTATTCCCTTTCTTGAACAAGGGAATGATATTTGCCACCCTCCAATCTCCTGGTACTACTCCCATATCCTGTGATCCTTTTAACACCAAGTGCTACATCTAACTCCTTCATTCTTTATCGCTTATAGAGAAAATTATGGAGAATTCTGCAACATGAGAGAGACTTAATGAAAGATATTTGGCTATGCTACTGACTATTTTAGTAGAATTTGCTAATTGCAGGTGTCATTTTTATTTGCACAGGTCCGTTCTTCAATTGTCTTGCTGGTGTTTAAAGGGAAATTCAGATGGCTCCATCACTTTTTCATTACAGTCCTTCTTCTCGCTGGCAGCAACGTTTTGGTGATATGCATTCCAACGATAATGGATGTATTTGCTGTTATTGGTAGGTTGAAGTATCTATTTTAGTGTATGCCAATTTACAATGTTTTTATTTCATTATTTCATTTTCATTGCACTGTGTTTGACAGCCATTTCAAGTAATCTTTGTTTTCTACGGTACAGGCTCGACTTCTGCTAACATGCTGATCTTCATTCTTCCTGCTTCGCTATATTTAAAACTTGTGAAGAATGAGCCTCAAAATAGCTGGAAAAGAATAGGGGTACGTACATTTGATGTTATGTTTTCATCAGTTTTATGACTTCTACATGTGAACATTACGGTCTAGATTAGTTCTGAAAAATAATCATTTTGCAATTCTGCTTCCCCTTGCAACTTCCTTCTTTTGAGAGCCTACCTTTCCTGTGCAGCCATCCTATTCTGAAATAGAAGTAAGCTAATCTGCGGCTAAAGCAGGAATCCACTGTATATATCTTGCAGTAAATAGGGGAGGGGGCTGGTTATTTCAGTAGGCTGCATGGCTGGTTTGTGATGCTGAATGATTCCAACAGTGTGGGTTCAATTCCCACACCAGCTGAGGTTACCCTGAAGGACTCTCACCATTTAAAAACCAAAAGAACTGCGGATGCTGTAGATCAGGAACAAAAACAAAGTTGCTGGAAAAGCTCAGCAGGTCTTCCTCGGGTCACCGGACCCAAAACATTAACTCTGTTTTCTTCCTCGGGTCACCGCACCCAAAACGTTAACTCTGTTTTCTTCCTCGGGTCACCGGACCCAAAACATTAACTCTGTTTTCTCCTCCACAGATGCTGCCAGACCTGCTGAGCTTTTCCAGCAACTTTGTTTTTGTTGTTGTTGACTCTCAACATTTCCCCTCACCAGAGTTTTGGTGACCCTCAGGTTAAACCAGCAGTCATTCCTCTCTCTAATGAGAGAGCGGCTTTATGCTGTGGTAATACTATGGTGACTTTAGCTTGCAGGCAATGGATGGACCATTGAGACATATCTAGCTCAAACAGCTGAGGGTTCAATGCATAGGTGGAGGCAAGAAGGTGATAACTGATATGCCCAGCATTCCCCTAACTTACTTTCATACTAGCAGTGGGAAAGCTGGTACAAAATCAAATTAAAGCTCTTGAGTGACCAATTAAAGGTCTCTTCTCCCCCTTTCCTAGCATTATATTATCACTTTAGGAACCTCTGCCAGGTGGGGAGACTGATCAGTTAATCCTGGCCTCTAAGCAGGGTCTGAGGACTATGAGCTGAAACCTGCTTTTCACACTCACATGCACACAAAGACTCACACGCACTCACAGACACGCACACACACACACTCACTCACACAGACAGACAGACACACACACACAGACTCTTTCTCTCTCTCCCTCTCACTCACTGTCTCACACACACACAAGCATTCTCTCTCCCTGTCAGTGGTTAACGCTGTTGCCTCAGACCCAGGTTCGGTTCCAGTGTGGGTTTTCTCCAGGTGGTCCAGTTTCTTCCCACAGTCCAGAGATGTAGTCTACATGGATTAGCTGTGGGTAGGGGTTTGGGTCTGAGTGGGATGCTCTTCAGAGGGTCACTGTGGACTTGATGGGCTGAATGGCCTACTTCCACACTGTAGGGATTGTATGATTCTACCCATCGCCATACCCCACTTCCCAGAGTGGAATGCTTGCTCCCACTGGTGACAACGATACATCTGCCTCAGCAACCCTGTCCTCCCAGGGCCCTCAGCATGTTCTTAACCGCCAAGTGTAGCTCCAGCAGTGTCCACCATTGCTGGTGGCACTGTTGAGCTACAGGCCCCCTGATTGTAACAACACTTCGTGCACATGGCCATTGTTGATGGGATGGCAGTCACTTTATCGATTGCTGCCGAGGAGAATTAGCCGTGAGTCACATTGACTACTGAAGCAAGCTAATGCCTGCTTTATGCCCCAGTGGTGGGACCTATGCTGGCACCTTATAATCCATGCTGAGCTGTATGGAGCTCTGAATAGATGCTGCAGTCCAACATGCGATATTGGATCAATTCTTAAGTTTTCAACCTGGTGAGTATTTGACGAGAGAATTTGTTGTTTTCTACATTTTTTTTTGTTACAGATAGAATCCATGTTGCCTCTTTAACGTATTTCCAGCTGTCAATTTGTCCTTGTTGCTTAGGCTGAAGTGCTTTTCCTGTATTCATTCATGGAATATCGGCATCACTGGCTAAGTCAGCATTTATTGCCCGTCCCTAATTGCCCAGAGTCAACCACATTGCTATGAATCTGGAGTTTTCCTATAGTCCAGACCAGGTAAAGGCAGTAGTTTCCCTCCTTATAGGACATTAGTGAATCAGATGAGTTTTTCTGACAATCAACAATGGATTAATGGTCATCATTGGACCCTTAATTCCAGATTTTTATTGAATTCAGATTCCACCATCTGCCAAGGAGGGATTTGAACCTTAGTCCCCAGAACATTACCTGGGTCTCTGGATTAATAGTCAAGATATAATACCAATAGGCCATCACCTCCCCATGTATATTATTATAAATCTGTATTAATAGCATTTTGAAATGATTGTGTATTGTGCTGTGGCATCTTACTGATGATGTTAGCAATTGATGCTCTTAATGCTCATTCTGCTAAAATGTCTGTCAAATCCGCAAATCCCATCGGAGTGGTATCAGCCACATCTCAGAAATGCAGGCTGCTGATGATTTAAATGCTGACCATCATTTACTTTAGTGAAAGAGAGATAATTTACCTGTGGTCTTTTTTACTTTATCCAGGCTATGGCTTTTCTGGCGGTTGGGATAATATTCATGTTCATCACTGTGCCATTGATCTTTGTTGAATGGCACAAAAGAAGCAGCAACAATACCAGCGCAGGCAGCTGCTCTGGTCAACATTGATATTAGTAATGGGATGAAGACAAGGCAAGCTTTCTCAGCAACACAAGGCCTCTGAAGATGCTTTGTTCAAAACATTGTTTGGATCATCAGAAGTTACGACACTTCTTGGATTTTTCATTTGCAAAATGGTCATTACAGGAAAAGGTAGCCGTATTAAAATTTGGATAATGTGACTGTACACTCAGACAATTCTGAAGCTGCAGTCTTCATAGATGGACGATCATAAGTAAATTTTAGTTTTGCTCTTGTCTCAAAATTTCATAACTGTTTTGAAAAAAAAGCATTTCCACTATTATATTTGAACTTGCTAATGAGCTCCTTGGAGTGTCAAGTATTTCCTAAAAATCTAATTGTCAATGTATTTCTTGAATATCTTTTTTTCAGCTTTTTGGTAGCCCATTTCATTTTGATTAGACATTTTAAAAGTAGATTTATTTTCTTTGACCAATACAAAGCCTAACCATTTCTCCATTATCTAGTTTAATATGACATTGTTGTGCTTTGGAGAAATTAGTCTTAGGAACCAATAATAAAACATGGTTGAAATTATGTCCTGATGCACAAATGGATGATAACTTAATACATTCCTCATAAATGCCTCTCTTTATAGTATTGGTGGAGACAAGAGCATTTCTAGATTACAATTTAACTGTTACTGAATTACACCATTGTTAATAGAGCATGTTAAACTTAGAATGGTTATGGCACTGAAAGAGGTCATTTGGGAAAGTGAGAGCGTCTAGGACGGAAGAGCATAATTTTACAATAAGGAGATCACAGATTTAAAACAGAGAATAGGAGAAATTTCTTCCCTCAGAGGGTAGTGAATCTGTGGAATTTTTTTCCCACAGATGGCTGTGGAGGCTGGGCCATTAAATACATTGCAGGCTGATATGGATTCCTTATCAGTAAGGGCGTCAAGGGTTACATAGAAAAGATAGGAAGGTGGAGTTGAAGATTATCAGATCAGTCATGATCTCATTGAATGGCTGACTTGATGGGCTGAATGGCCTACTTCTGCTCCTATGTCTTACAGTCTTGGCCCTTCATATTTATACTGGTTCTCTAAAAGAGCAGCTGAGCTGGACCCACTCCCTTGCCCGTTCTCTGTGGCCCTGCATTTTTTTTTCTTCAGACACTTCCCTAATTCCTCTTTGAGTCTGCTTCCGTCACAATCTCAGGCAGTGCACTACAGATACTATCCACCCACAGTGTTACCAAGAAGTTTAATGTTGTCTTTGCTTTTTTTTTGCTAGTCCCTACAGGTCCTCAAACCTTTCACTGATAGAAACTATTTTTCTCTACCTCCTGTGCCTGGACCCCTACCTCCTGTGCCTGGACCCCTTATGACTTATTGATCAAATCTTCACTGAACATTCTCTGGAAGGAGAATAAATTCAGCTGTTCCAATCACATTTATGTCAAATATAATGCTGCAGACACTTTCACTGCCTACAATTGTCCTCCTGATTTTAAGTGTTATTTTTGCATCAGTTTTCTTTAGTTGTACTTGAATATGAACATTTCTGGCAAGGCCAGTATTTAGTGCCTGTTGTTGATTATCCTTGAGAAGGTGGTGGTGATAATGCAGTTCATGAAATAGTGAGTTGAAAAATAATCTCTATAGTCACAATCTTGGCTTAATATTAGCTGAGGCACCACGTTGAAGTTTGTTTCAACACAAGGACTGTTTCAGACATTGCACAACCCAACGATACATTATGACTGTGGAGTGTAAATATTCTGCACCTATGACTCAGACGTACAGTTTAAATCTGTATTTTTTTAATGTACATGAAACAGTATTCATATTGGAACAATTTTCTTCTGATAAGTATACTATTCATCTTACAGTGTATGTAAAGTCGGTATCTCTCTGCATACTTTGTAAATTTTTTTATGATATGAATTTACTCTGTGAAATAATGAATCTTACTTTAGCAAAAGATCCTAATTAGTGACCTAGACTCAAAGGTTTGAAATGTTGCCAAGTACTTGAATTTTATTTATGGCCAGTACATGTGCAACAGGGGAACGATTCTGAATTTGAAAGAGCTATGATGCAGAGGTACCGGTGTTGGTCTGGGGTAGACAAAGCCAGACGTCACACCACACCAAGTAATAGTCCAACAGATTTATTTGAAATCACAAGCTTTCGGATCGCTGCTCCTTCATCAGGTGAATTCTGATGTTGTTCAAAAAAGCTGGCTTGTTTCATTAAAACTGTGAGCAGTTTCCATTGTTTGTGGAATGTAAAATGTAACAAAGTTATGGCTTTATTGTAAAGCAGAAGTATTATACTTTTTGTGATATGAACAATAAAGATATACTGTAAATAATGCAATATATATTATACTGTACGGATAAATCTCCTTTCTTCTTATCTTTTAATTACCTTGACATCTCTGTACATTTCTTATGTACATTTCAGCCCTGCTACAGGTTCATTCAACCACATGCATGTTTGTGTTTGAATCCAAACAATTTAGCTTATTTTTCTTGTTTCCTTTCATCCTCTTGGGTTCATGTGGGAATTCCCAGATCAGTTACACGGCAGTCAGACTTATGACATTACTTTTACATTACTTGAAATTGGAACAGTGAAAACCACTGGACCTGAAAAGACTGTGATGTTTGTATGGCAAGTTTCATAAACCATTTAACTGCAAGGAGGAAACTTTGTTTATATGATTCATTTACAACTTCAGGAAATCCTAAGACACTGTTTATTTTTAATTAATTCATGGGATGAGGGGCATCGCTGGCTAGACAGCATTTATTGCCTATCCCAAATTGCCAAGAGGGCAGTTATGAGTCAACCACATTGCTGTGGGTCTGGAGTCACGTGTAGGCCAGAACAGGTAAGGATGGCAGATTCCTTCCCTAAAGGACATTAGTGAACCAGAAGGGTTTTTCCAACAATCAACATGGATTCACAGTCATCATTAGACTCTTAATTCCAGATTTTTATTGAATTCAGATTCCACCATCGGCCGCAGTGGGATTTGAAGTTGTAAGTCATTGTTGTGAAGATGAAATGCAGTTTCTCCGTTGTACGTAGCAAGATTCAACAAATAAGTAATGATAATTACTAGATTAATCATTTTTTAGTGATGTTGGCTGAGGGATATATTTTAGTCAGGACTCCAGTTAGAACTCCCCAAGACTTTTGAGCTAGAGACCTGGTATTCTTGGGTCTAACTTTTATATTCACCTGCTTTTACACCCTTCCCAAAGTTGGCATCTCTGAGAATGGAGCGCTCAACTCTGCAGCAGAGTGTTGCCCTAGACATTGAGAATGTGAAATTCAGAACACAGACTGACCAGCCATGATCTCATTGAATGGCAGAGTAAACTAGACGGGCTGTATGGCCTTCTTTTGCAGAGTGTTAACCTAGACATTGTACTCAAGACCCTTGAACCTACAGCCTCATATTCAAAGGTGAGAGTGCTAATAATCAAGAACCAGTGCAACAGTTATTAGCAAAGACCTTTGACTCCTATGTTCCCACAGTTTAACTGACTAAATACCACCCAGTTCTTCTCTGGTGAATTGCTTGAATACAGTTGGTTTGCTACTCAGGTTACAGCTCATAACCAGACCATGCAACAATAATACGCTGGACTGTACAGATCACCAGTGGGTGGGAAACAGGCAGGTAAACCTGTAAATAGGATGCCATGTCAATTTACAAGTGGCAGGGGAAGTGTCTAATGCCTACTGAAAGGACTCATCATCCTGCCACTCAGATTTAACAGGTGAAGGGGGTTGCCCGCATCCAATATGCAGTCTGACAATGTTGCCCTTGATCAGCAAAAGGGGCTTGCTTTTTTTCTGTGTCTCCAGTGCCATTTATAGACAGCCCCATGCTTCTCCCCCAGCAGATTTTTGTCCCTGTGTCCACCTTCCTCTCTTGCCCATCTGATGTGCCCCCAATTCCCTACCCACATTAACATGGCCTGGCACTAGACTCTACTGAGGGTCTGGGCATGTCACTGAACACAGCGTACTTGGTGGTGGCATTACCAGCACTGCAGAGCTACCGACGGTCCCTTATTAGCAAACAGTTCGACGAGGTGGCACCTTTTCCTTGAGAATGGCAGAAATTTCGCCTCATAATAATTAAAGTTCCATCAGCCAAAAACTTTATGTGGGACTAAGCAGCCAAGTGGAAGCAGGTTTTTCCCTGACGTTTACAGGGAGCCTACGTTCCGCAAAGTATGATTTAGACCATGGATTTATATACAGTCAGTTCTGTTATAATGAAATAGTTTCATTCCTGTGTAACATTGCATTATAGAAAATTGTGCTATAGAAATAACAGGGCCTATGGGAAAAGCGGAGTTAGGAGCAGACCACCAAAAAATATCACTCAAAAGCCTAAAATAAAGAATAGCACAGTTTGAATAAATGTTTAATTTGTTTCTAATAATGAAATAAAAGTAAATTTAACACGTTACCTTGAAAAACGTCAAGATGGCTTGATGTCAGAGGAAGTTTTGAGTTTAAAAACCAAAAGAACTGCGGATGCTGTAAATCAGGGACAAAAACAAAGTTGCTGGAAAAG